GGAAAGCATGCTCTGAGAGTTGCTATAGTTAGTGATTAATGGAAATGTATGTATAATTCCTCATTAGTATTTAGAATGAGAAAAAAAGTGCGGATTACTTTCTAGAAACTATACTTCCCTTAATGCAGCTTAAAATCTGTTAGCTTTCCTGACACCGAATCTCACTGTTGGACAGACATTGAGCATAAAGTTGACTAAAATCCCAAGTCTTTCAAAAGATTCTGTTACTAAACTAAATGTTTGTCCCAGAAGCCAGACTGGCCATTCATCCCTTTTAAATTTCATTATAGTATTACAGTGTGCTGATGTCATTTTTGCTCCTAATTCTGTCATCCAATCTGTTGTCCGCAAGCATAGGGACTGTGTCTGTTTTGTTTTCTGCTATATTTCTTGCACCCATGATAATATTTTTATTTACAACAAATGCCATCTACAGATCTGATTAATGTGCCACCCTTATTTTTTGTGCAAATCACTGAAAATATGAGAACTAGATAGATCTGAGTGCTGTCTCTCAGAGCATACCAACCACCACCTCCCATAATGGTCACCAATCAAGATGCATGAGGGATGATCATTCAGCCTGTTTTTAATCTGGCCCATATTGCTGCTGCTACACTATCATAAACCATCAAGAAAGACCCAGCCTTTTGCATCACACAAATTCGTTTATGCCACAGCTGTCATAACTCCCAGACCTCATGTATTATTGTCCAAGAAGAAAACTAAATTAGTCAGATGGATTTCTTCTTTGTAAATCTGTGTAGCATTCTAGTGATCACTGCTTGGTCCTTTCATAAGTTTAAAACCCTTTAAAGTCCTTTGACATGACATCATGGAAATTTTCATTCTGTGTTTTCCTTCCTTTTTTCAAAGAATAAAAAAGTCATCAGAGCATAATATGATAAGGATTTCTGTTAGCACTTAGATCTGTGAAGATTAAAAATGAGACTAGCATCTCCTTTCATATAAACTATAGTGGATAAAAGAGAATGAGGGAAGTTATAATCATGTTCCTACAAATGACCAAAAGAATCTCTTTCCCTGGATCCACAGTAAACATGCTGATCTGTATTAATAATGTCTATTGATTGAGCACCTGTTATAAAGAAGGCATTGTGAAAGCATTTTGCATTTATTATCTGACATAAGCCAACAACCCTGCTAGGTGTTATCGTTCCTTTCCCAACAGTCAATACAAGGCATCATAAAACATCTTGCCCAGGGTCACACTGCCAGAGAGGTGGCACTGCAGACTTTCAAACCAGGTCTGCCCCACACCAGGTTCCTTCTACTGCACAACACTGCATCTTCAGAGTTTACAGAGTTCATACTTTTGACATCTCTCCCATTTGCTGACAGTGATTGAGAACTTTCACAGAGAACTTGAAAGATTCTCTGAGTGCCCTGGGATGTAATTCATCTGGATCCGGTGGCTTGAACTCAATATAAACAGCTAGATGCTCTCATACAAGTGCTTCACATGTCCTAGACTTCATGTAACTTTTACCAGTGTCTAGTCTATCCTTTTCAGTTCAAGAATCCGTGTTCTTGACAGAAAATACAAGCACAAAATAAGATTTGAAAATCCTACTTCCACTTTCTCATTCATCAACTTTACTGTAACTAAAGTGGCAAGTCTCTTCTTTTTGCCTTTTCTGACCAACTCTAACCCCAAAAGCCCCTTTGGTTGTCAAGTTATATGCATTACATAGAAAACCTCCTAGAAGAAGCATCTTCATATCTAGTGAGATTTGGTAATTTCTTCAAACCTTGAAAAAAATTGGTCATAACCTAAAAAGTCAAGTAACATTACTGAAAGACAGAGATTACACAAAGTAAGCTAGAGTATTTAGTGGGTTACCTCCTTTGAAAAGGTTTCCGGATTTCTTCAATGGGTGGTGATATTTTCACCAAGAAAAATATCATATCTACCAAATATCTGCCAGCAGTTCATAAATACATGTTAAATTGTGCTTAGCAATTGTGAAGTGGTGATACAATATCGTGTGATTTCCTGTTTCAAAATAAGCAAGGTTTTTTAAAGCATGGTGTTTGAAAGGTATTTTACTCACTTTGAGAACTTGGGACTAGTTGAGGCAGATAGGAGCACAGCATATGATATGAAAAAGAGAAGTACAAACAATTCAAACAGTAAAGCTGGAGCAGAGCCAAAATGAGCAAGAAAAGGAAAGCGCCCTTTGAGGCTGGTCCATGGGGAAGGGAAACAGCAGAGAAAAAGATTTGCTTCATGAAGAGATTGCTTCACACTGGTAATAATACTGGAATTAGAACTATCAACCAGATTAGTGGGTAAAATAACTATTACTAACCCATCATTGTAAGTGTACTTTTTAAAACTCAGCAATGTATAAGCAAAGTAGTAGTGAGAATATCAGTATACATTAATAATACATTAGGAATGACAGCACACCTTTTTTCCTTTTATCTTTGCTACTTAATTTGGCATTGTTTGACTTTATTTGTAAAAACTAACCAGATTTATTGTACTTTTTATCTCAAAAATACTAACTTTTTGCACAGCGTCTATTTAAAGTTCTAACACATTGGCCCTAATTCCAGATTCATCATCAAGAAACTGATTTTAAATAATTCTCTTTAACTTCCCAAGCAGTGTGTCAGGATATACAAAGAATTGAGTTCATGAAAGGTCTTTGATCAGATATGCATATTTTATCTGTAAAAATGTGTATGTCACTTAAATGTATATGACATTAAACTAATTTCATTCTCCCTAGAATTCAAGTACCAGCTGACCACAAGCTGACTATATCGCTCATTATCCATTAGGTTCAGTCGTTCACCCAGTACATAATATTTGAAGCCAAGATTATTAGCTTTATAGAGATTCACTGAACTCAAGTTCACATGCATAATCCTCAGCATCCTCAAAAGCACACAAACTACTTAATGTGAACCATTTTTATATTCTGAGAGGCAGTAGAGCCCAGGGAGCTCAAACACAACCTACTGGCCTTGAGCAAATTACATAATTTCTATGCCTCAGTTTACTCATCTGCAAATTAGGTAATAATGCCTACCTCACATATTGTATAAAATACAACTAATATGTGTAAAATACAGACCATCTGATAAGCCCTTTTTAATTACCTGAAAAAGTCTGGAGGGTCCCCTGAAGGCTATGTGGAATGACAAAATCAGTTCTTATTGAAGAAGTTATTGCTATGAGATAGTGTCGGCAAAGCTGCAGCTATTTGGGGTGAGAGGGATTAATTTCAGCAAGACCTGAGTCAAGGAAACCAGATAGATAAGAGGCTGCTGCACTATTCCAGGCAAGAAATGAAGAGGCTTAAACTAAATGGCCAGTGACCACCGCTTCGACCTGGATCATCATTTGGCTGAAGATGCACCCACAAAGCACTCCCAGCTTTCAGGTTTGGACGGCTTTCTCTGAGGCAAGCCATAGGAAAAGACAAGTTCCAAAAATCTCAAGTATCTGAACACATCCAAAAGCAAATGCCCAATAAGCAGTCCATTAGAACTCAGAAAAAGCTATGCCGCAGAAACTTTAAACTCAGCAGCATAGAGAATAGTTGAAGTCAAGGAAGTAGGTAAGATCTGCTTTTATCCTCTTTTTCAATGACCTATCAAAGCTTCTATTCTACCCCAGACTAGAACATACCATCTCAGGCAGTTCTGAGCATTAAAGGGAAATCATATTGAAGACTTCAACCTTGAAGTTAATTGCAAAGTTTGCTGCAGATGGCTAATGTTTCAAAGGTAGAAACTATTTTCTAAGTGATCTGAGTAAAACATGAACATGAGTCCCTGGTGCTGCATTTCCCATCGCATACTGCAGAACTGCCAACGATAGGCCCTTCCTTTGGCTCCTGGGGACTTAATTTCCCTAGGGAACTATTGTGGTTATTCAACTTTAAGACCTTGCAGGAAGAATCACAGTTATTTCTCTCTGGGGTCTTACTCAGACAAGCAATGTGAAAGTAAATAGTCACTAAGGAGGAACAAGGAGAAATAAACAAGCTTTTAGTCAAATGTATGAACCAAATCATGTTACAAAAAAAAATGCTGGCCAAATTTTTACCAAAGCTAAATTGGGGACAGCATCACTGCCTCGTAGCTCCTGCTCACTGTCACCCGCAAGGGGATGTGGGTCCCACACCCCAGCATCACTGCTGCCAACACAAAGGTGCAGATCACTATATGCCAGTTTCTACATGTGGTGGTTGGATAGACTGTTTCAGGCAGGGAGAACACCAAACGAAATGAGAGCTAGGGCCTTTGCCGCTTCTGCTGGTGCCTAATGTGATCTCAGGTATCTCTCTTCTTTGCCCTAGTGCTCTATCTAGAATTCTATGATTAAAAGGAATTAAAGGAAATTGCTCTTCAAAAAATAATTTTTTGAAAAGCCTTATAAATACACTCTGTCATTCAGGAGTAACATTTTTTGCCCCAGAAGGCTCACCAGCCAACATTATGTTGAAGAAATCAATGTCTTGTTCCTAATCATTAAAATAGCCTCTTGTTGACTAAATGCCTACTACATGCTTTATCTGAGATGCTCTATGAACTTGCTTTCAATGTCACAATAACCCCAGTGAGGTAGTAATAAGATGTTATCTTTTTTTACAGAAGGGAAAATGGAGGCTTACAAAGGTTGGATGAGTTAGTCAAGCTCACAAGCCTGGTAAACTGTCATTCAGCCTTGAAACCCAGGTCTCTCTGACCCTCACATTGCTTTGACAACCGTTTTATTTCCAGATCTAAAATTGTATTCTGGAAAAAACTCCACGGCAGGAGGACTCGAATCAAACCACTACCACGTTCCAGTGTCCCACTATCAAGGTGGAGCCAGGAAGCAGTCCAGTGAACCTGTGCTCGTCTCCAGCTCTCATTCTTGAGCTAAACTGAGACAGTCGACATATACCGATTCAGGATTACTAAATTGCATTCATCTCCAAACATTTAACAAAAGCAGATTTCTAAAGACTCTTAAAAAATGTATTGCAAAATGTACAGCATTTATTCACATACAGACAAAAAGGCACAAATTCTACTAAATAGTTCAACAAAAAAATACAGCTGTCCTCAACTAGTTTTATAAATATTTTCAAAAAGGGGGCAGAAATAAATACAGGATTGGGCCATGTAATATAAAATAGTCATCTCTACATATACTTTGTTTTATTTCTGATTTTTAACTCTTCATGCACCTTTTTTTTTTTCAATTTTAGCTGAATGGACACCAAGCTAGGCACATAGTGAAAAATCCTCTGTACAAAGTTACAAATGTAATGACAAGTTTGTCCATTTCAAAATAATTAAGATTTGTACACAACACATATAACCCTTCATTTAGATTTTGTGTTTATAAGCTAACAAATGACATTCCAGGCAACTTTACAAAAGTTTAACTAGCCTACATTTTGACATAATACATTGATCATAATCAAAGATATTTCTTGGTCAGGATGCACAAGGAAAGAAAAAGCTTAACAAAAAAAAAAAAGTTGGGGGGTGGGCAGAAAGAAAAGAAGAGCAAATGGTTTCACACTAACAGAGTGCAAGCGGGTAGGTGGGCTGGGTCGCTGTGACGGCGCCTCATACAGAGTTCCCAGCAGGACAGGAGACTAACTTACAAAGCTATCATTACACTGTCAGAGAAACCGGGGTCTATATCATTTGCATTTCAAAGCAGGAATAAAAAGTGTGGGCTTTTTATTTTGTGTTTTGTTTTTGTGTGGGGTTTTTCTTTTAAGTTTTTTTTGTTGTGTTTTGTTTTTTTGGTTCAGCATAACTTGGAACATTTGAAAGCTTTTCAACCTAAATGTGGGGAAAAAACAGGTAAGGCATTTTTTGCACAAAACTAGCATTCCTAATAGTGCAAATGAATCTGGTACCTCTTAAAATGGTGAGAGGTCATACACTTACTAGAATTAATTTAGCTATTCTTTCTATGGCTTGACAGATTATCCCTCTATATAGTCTACTTTCACCCAGAGCTGTTGCTGTAGTCAAAAGGGAACTACAGATAGAGTCCACCTTCTTCCATAGCCAGCAAAAGGTTTTTTGCTCATATGCAAAAAATCTGATTTTTGAATTATGCTAGCAGTGAATGTACAACTTAGATTCATTAGAAACTTCTAATATCTGTAGCAACAGCTTATATGGACAGCAGTCTTTCAAAATGAGCCGCATAGCTCAAAAATAGTCAATCTAAAAACCTGGGTCATTCTTTCCCCTCCCCTGAATTAGCTACTAAAATGTATTCGAAAAGTTAAGACTTGGTTTGAAAATGCCATACATACAATGGGGATGCATCAGATCTACTATTTGATCATCTGATAAAACTTGCATAGCAAGATGGAATTCAATAAGCCTTTTTTATTGTTGACAATCATCTGGAAGACTTGAAAGTTAACTACAGAACTCAAAGCATTATTAAGTTTCAGAATGTCCCTGCCACATGGAAACAGATGCATAAATGAATCAGGAATCTGAATACTGATATTAACAAACTAAGGGGTAATTTTGGGGAAACTGGGTGTGTTCCAAGGGCCCATAATTCTAAATCTCATTGCTATTTAAACTTTCCTTCTCTTAAGTTGGATTCACAACTACACTGAATTCCAAAGAAAATTAACAAAACCTTAACACTATCCACTGTCTTAATACATATGCACTACAGTGAGTGCAAAAACAGAAAATTGTACCCAAATTTAATGCTAAATTCATTATTGCTGATAACTTATTAGTTATTGCCATTTGCAATCAGAAAGTCCAAGTTACAAACTGGAGCTTAAAACTCTGACTCCAGAAAACTTCAATCTCTCTCCTGTATAACCTTGGTCAATGGTAAGAGGTTATCGCAACTTATTGCCTTTCTCCTGTTTTTAAACTGTAACCTACTTTGCTTTTTCCTTTTTTTTTTTTTTTCCTTTTCCTAAGGAATCCGTACATGTTGGAAGCCCAGATTCCCCGACACATGCACCAGTGGTTGGCACTGGGAAGTGCGGGTCACCAGAGTCTGGAAGTTCACCACTTGAACTTCAACAGCTATTGTATTGTTGGAAGCCAAGTGGCAGGTACTGCCAATGGCCTGGGAAATCCCAAGTTGGCCCTAAAGGCAGTGAGTGGTTAGGAAGAGGAAGGTCAAGAGGACTACTGAAAATGGGACCTCAACTGCCCTTTCCCATAAAGTGGAACTTTCTGATGGCTTCACTCTCACCAGTCCTAGAGCCACAACAAATTCAAGAGCTTCAGTAGCAGCCCTTGGCTGCCTTTGCACTAAGCTGCCAAGCTGCCCATTCAGGTCCTCTCGTAATGACCTTCTAAAGATCCTCTCTTCCCCATCTGCAGTATTTACACATGCATCCCCTGGAGTTAGTGAAGCTTCTGAGCTGCTGTCTGTGTACTAAAATGCAACGAAAATACCTTGTGGGCCAAAGTATAAATATGGTTTCAAGATCTACCACAGTCCTAGAAAGTAAGTTTACAGACTGTTAAATGGTATGTCAGGGTTTCTCAAGAAAGGTATATCTGATCCTGTATATTCAGATAACCAAGAGTTTGTGCTTTGGGAAGAATATGGAGGGCAATAAAAACTCATGAGGCTTATGTAAGCCTCGCCCTCTTTAATTCTCATTCATTCTTGTTTTAGTGTTTAATTCAGCCTCTAGTCTTAGAAGTGTCTTATGATTACAATCTACTCTTGTGTTTCCTCAACAAGTTGCAAATAACACATACTTCTCACAACAATGACTTATAAATGACTCTGAAAAAAAAAAATTTCAATCTGAATTGCAAGTATATGTGTTTGTGTAGCCCCGGAGTGATGGGTTTCCACTTGTCCCTGCGTCAGAGCCCCTGTCAAACTCCATGACAAGCTGCTCACTCCCACGCCTCCTCGGTTTCATCAAGAAGCCAAAATGCTTCTCCTGATAATGTCTGTCCTCCTGTTGATTGCGCTGCTGGCATGTATACATTTCTTTTCTGATGCTTCACTCTCAGAGTCACTCATTTCTGCATCAGGGACATACCCGTCATTCTCATTGTCCGATTTTAAGTTGCTTTTCGCCCTTTCCTTGGCTGGAGCTCGGCCTAAACCCAGGTAGGGGTGGTCCGAGAGCGGGCAGCAGGCCCCGTCGCGGGCCTCTCCCTGCTGCTGCCGTTCCCCCTTCTTTGGAATCCGGAATCCTCCCCAGTTTTTCACTGGGCTGGCAGGAGTTGTAGGCACTTTGGCTGCAGTCTGGCTATAGTTCACTTTGATCAGGGAGCCGTTGCACTTGGGCACCACCTCCTTCCTCGTGCCAGGTGCCGGCTGCCCCGCTCCAGGGAAAGGAGCAGCTCTCGTGTTGTCCACGTGCCTCTGGGACACATCTGTGGACCTGAGAGGCTTGTGATTCTGTTTAAAAGGTCTGTCCTTTAAGTCTCCCTTACTGAGATCACAATGCAAACGGTGATCTCTTCTGTTCCCATGGTCTGGCATCACCACCCCATTTTTCTGCTGTGCTGAAATGAGGCGTGCTTCTGCAAAGGTCTTTTCAAAACTCAAAAGGCTCTCTGGGACCACCATGCCCTCCCTTCTACCACACAGGTCTGGCTGCTTTAGGAGGGTTTTGCCTTCACTCCCGGGGCTATTCTGCAAGGGATCTCGCTTAGGGGGTTTTTTCAGAGAATGAACCAATGAAGTACCCATTTGCTTCCTGAAGAATGCAGAATGCCACTTCAAGTCCTCGATCTTGGGAGCACCAGGGCCCACAGAAGGACTGTTAAACAAAAGCATGTTTTCCAGTGAGGAGGAGGAGCAGGAAGAAGAAGGCACACCTAGGAACATAAAACCACAAATAAAGAAAAATTACAGCAGAAGCAAATCCAAAACAATAAAATTCTTGCCCCTTGGTATGGCTCTACCAGTGCAAACTTCCCATTCAGCATGGAAAAACCCACCCAGTTTGTAAAAATTTGGTTTTTACATTAAAGACATAACCTGTCTTGAGAATCTGCACTCTGTATACTCAACTCAATATGCCACGTTTTCTCAAACAGCTCAAGTTCACATAATTTTTCATGAAACATTTTTTCAAAGAATATATTTTCTTTCAAACAAAATAACATCTGAGTTCCAAGCAGAATCCATGCAGAATCTATTTGGAGGCCAAGCACTGCCTCTCCCCCTCTGCCTGGTCACAGAGCAGCACCTGGGCCACAGCCACCCACCAGCCTGTCCCTGCTACCCAAGCACCCGGGCAGGGGCTGTCTCCAACGTCTCTACACCCCCACAGGCTACAATGAGGGCAAATACATGTAAGTAAGGTGAAATGAAGGTGTTTTAAAGGCATCCTTGACAGAGTAAATATTTCAAAAAATGTTTACTATTACACGCCAAATCCATCTGTGGAACTACACTGAATTGTCATCCCATGTTAGTTAATCAAATGTCTCAACGTTTTTGATGCTGGTCCCAGTAAGAATTAAATCTCACCACGAAACCCAACAAAAGTTCACTTGTGAAATCAGATTAGCCTTCATCAGATGCACACCCAGCGGTTTCTGTTCTGTCTTATTAATGCTGGCGATGACTTAGTGAGTTCATCTCACAAAACACATGAGTGCATGAGAAGGACCATATTTCAACAAGAGCCTCCAGAGCATCTACAAAGCACAGTTCTCACATTCCCTGTCCCTATAAGGTATGAACTAACAGGAAAACAAGGTTCTGCCCAGAGTCCCAGGCAGGAGCGCATGTAAGAACTTCCTGCTGAGCAGATGGGGACACTGCCCAGAAATGCAACGAACGAGCAGCTCTAAACATAAAATCGTCATGACCACGGGGGACGGTGTTTTACAGCCTGCCTGTTTGGAAGTGCCCGCTTTCTCAAGAGTCAAATGTTAGGGTCAACTTTACACCACACTTACACTTCTTTTACTCAGTCACCTACTGTGGGAAAGCAAAGCTGAAAGGAACTGACATTTTCTGAACTCTGATTTCTCCTACTTGACTCGGTTCCCATGCCTCTGAAGAGCCTGACTCGTGACCTCCTATTAGCGCTGTCCCCACTGAGGACACTCACCCAGCAGAATGGCCTGTTCTCAGAATCACACAATAGAGTTGAAACCAAGGACCCTGGCTGACACATCTAAGTCATGGCCATCTGTTGGAATCAGCTCTCTTACAAGGCAGGGAGTCAACATGAGGCATGAATAAGAACACAACTGAAACTCTAAAACTGGAAGATAGAAAAAAACTAGCATCCTAAAGGGTTTCCACGTCATCCCGTGGCATCCCACAGGCAGATTAATGTTGCTTTCAACCGCTCATACCTAGTCGAGTCATGTCTCAGAGGGAATAGCATAGGACTTGGAAATGTAGATCTACCAAGAAACTCTTCCTAACCTGGGTAAGAATCTCAGTCACTTACACTAGCAAAAAACTCAGTCATGAAATACAGAAAGCTGCCTGCACTATATCCATGAAAAATGACTCTTCAGTGAAATCAGATGAAATGCTCTTCACAGCTGATTTTTATAGGTAATCACCCACTACATCACGTCTTAATAAGAGTCACAGGAAGCCCTCCACGGGCACACCCTGTGTGAATGATCCCAGCATCCGGGGGCTGGAGGCTGGGGCACCTGCCCAGGCAGCTTCCATGTGGACTGTTCACAGGACTCAAAGGCAAGGGCACGGACACCCATCTGTGTGCACTTGAGTAGGAATAATGAATGAAAAGACAGACGTTCACTTTAAAGAATCTGAATTGAACTGCTTTTACTTAGGACTCCCTACTTAAGAAAACTCTAAAAGTTTTACAACAAACTCTAAACTCTAGCTAATTAAATATGCTGAATACATCTGGAAAAATTTACTCTTGGGAAGAAAATATCTAGGATAATATTATTAAGTTAATACCATTGAAACTATGAAACACCTCAAGTGCATTTAAAATTCCCTATGCTTTTCCTTTTCTCTTTGTTCAGCTGGCTCACGTCTGGTCACATGTATCTGGTTAGTTCTAGGTAAACCAGAACTTGAATTTCAACATAATAGGTTTTAACAACTCTTTTATTGTTCCTGTGTTACATGATGATGCACAAAGAGCCACAGCAGTGGGCACGTGAGAGGGAGCACCGCGCCCACACAATGCAAACGGCAGGCGCCACCGAGGCAGGCGCGAGCTCCCCTCAGACCTGCTCCACGAGCTGGGATTCTGCTCAGCCACTCTCAACAGGCCTCCTTCCCTGAAACCCTTATCAGACCTGCTTTGCAGGGCTTTGATCACAGTGTTAGTGCCGAAAGGCACTTGAGAGGCCATGACTCGGGACCAACCTTCTGCAGATGAGAAGGCCCAGACGCAGAGAGGTTAAACGACTTGCCCAAATTCGCACTTGAAACCTACACGACCAGCATTCTCCAGGGCAGAGGAGATAAATATCTGAATTTTCTTGTGTACTCTTTCCCTAGCCCAGAGCGATGTAAAACAGAAGTCCCTAAATAAATACCTGGTGCTGTATCTCAAAAATACGCTGAATTCCACCTACACTAAAAAGTCTACTTGTGAAATGTTTTCTAAACGAGGACTTGTGTCTTAGATCCTAAGGCTAGAAAAACCTCTTTAGGTGTTCCCATGATACTTCACATGTATCGGGTGCTTTGCCCTATGTAAGCCACTGTCTCACAGCAGTTCCAGGAGGCTGCCACGAGCCCATCCTCACACTACACAGAGGAAACGGGAAGAAGCAGAACACTTGGCACTTGACTATGTTTGGCCTAGAAGATTTGGACCCATATTTGAGGCCAAATTCCTAGCCCTTTCCCCTATACCATGAGGTCTTAAATGCCTAAAGATTTTCTTTAAATATAAAAGTCTGTACTTCTTAGATTCTTCTACAGGACAGATAAAAGGAAATGAAAGAAACCATTAGTTTTTCCCTTAACACAGGTTAAGACTTACAAACCCATGCTCTATTGTTTGGCCTACAAGAGCTTAATGCATACCTGAAACTCTTTCTTGCTCCAAGAGCTTAGTGTAAAGATTGAATATCTGTTCCTGGACTTTGCACACAGATCGTTTAATCTTTTCCCTGCGGGTCACCATGTAAGTGAGGTTCCGAACCTAGAATGTAGAGAATAAAGATTCTAAGTAAGCAACACTTGACAACAGTACTTTGGTGCTTTTTCTTTCTTTACCTGAAAGAAATCCATCCTACTAGGGTCTTGACTAACATTTGAAATCAAAATGTATTTTAAGCATTTTATCCAGCCTCTAATCTCCTTTTGGGTTGCTAACAAGGATTCAATAATGCAAGCAGTGGCAACACAGAAGTTAAGACTGCAGAACCCTACAGAACCCATGCAAAGGCCCTGCTCCTCCAGTGCAGCTTGACGCTCAGCCCGGCACAGAGCAGACCACTGGAGTCCAAGCCCAGACTCATTCCCTCTTGCCAAGGACTCAGCTTACCACCGCTCCTTCGTCCTGTGACCTCTACAGTCTAAGGCTTTAGAGCAGTTCAGGAGCGTCCTCTGCTGCACTTTACCCAGTGCCTTCGGGCTGGAACTAGGTAAGTGCAGGTCAAAGACCATCAGAAGGAACTCCCCACCCCAACCCTGAAAATGCCCCTGCATGGGGCCCACTAGAAGACCAAATGGTCACACTGAACTCTGAAATGCCCACAGCAAACAGGTGGCTAATGTGTTCCCACAGAAGGTGACACTAGGCAACATCCTTCTCACTTTGCCATTGATTTGCTAAATGTTAACATCCCCAGTCCAGCTTTCTATCAACACTTGAGAAACTGATCCTGCTCTTTCCTGACTCATTCGTTGTAAGCAACTGAAAAAAGACCCAAGTGCTAAGTGCTCCACTTTGCATCTGATGAGCAACCACTGGGGATCACATGCAATACTAACTCATCAACACAGACTCATTCCCCATTTTTAAACCCACCCATGACCAGTCAATACAGAAAAATAAAATCTAAGGAATTAGTTATTAGACCTTCTTAAAATCCTTCAGTCTTAAAACCTATTGGTAAACTTGACTACATTACATGGGTCTGAAAATACAAATGTCAAATGCAACACAGCTGCTGAACAACTCATCCTTCCTTCAGGATGATGTGGACAAGCCCTCCCAAATCAGCTCGGGGGCAGGAGTGCAGAGCAGGTGTGCACGCCCGTCAGCTGAGTCAATGGCATGACCACGCTCCCCGAACACCCCAGGTCTTCCTTATGCACGGACCATCCCTTCCCCTGCCGCCTTCTCCTTCCACAATGAGGGCTCTGCCTTTGCCTTGGGTACCGACACCTCCCCCACGACCTTCTGCCCTTTCCGAGTCCTGACAATCGCAGCCCTTCTTCCCCGAGTCACGCGCACACGGTGGCCTCAGCGCATGAGGCCAGGAGGCACCGAGAGGAACCGGTGGCTAGTTTTCACCCCTGCATCAGGGTGTGACTTCCTGGCCCAGAGCAGGAGCACTGAGGGGACTTCTCTGGAGCCTGATCACGTCACTGACTGGTGTTTAGGGACTCCTAACACCTCCTCTTCATGACAAAAAAAAAAAAGTACCTTAAAGAATTGAGAAAAAAAAATTACTCTGCCTATTTCTCTTGGTGTCATTCACCCTGGTTAAAGAACTTTCTCTGACAGCCTCAGACCCCAGGCCGGGAAAGAGGTGTCCTTTATAAATATCCTGACCAACAGGTAAATATTTTCATAAAATAAAAATAAATACATGTTTTCCACCTAGGAGGGACTAAGAGTAAAAGCTCAAAAAGAGAAAGAGGCAAGACCTAGATTCGTATCAGTTTCAAAACTTGGAAAACAAATGATGTTTTTGCATTAAGACAAGGAATTCCACTTCCAGAAAAAGGAAACGGACATCCATTCATTCTGACATGCACGGAGCAGACAATATTACTCTGCTGTGGAAGTCAGATGTACAGCAGAGATACTTAGATCTCTTATTCAACATTATCCATGGAAATAATAGAAAATAGGGAAGCTAGAGAGCCTGAACTTTGTGTATTATTCAAATTTAATCTTGGTAGCTTCAACCACTTCCCCCAGCCAGGCAAGGCTTCCATCCTGGCTAAGTGGGGAAGTTCCACTTCTATTCCCCATGATCACTGATGAGAAATATCTTAATATAACCCCAAAAAGCAAAGGCCATGGTTAATTTTCAGTCAGAATAAATCAGCCCCTGAATAACCCAGTACTAGCTGACTACATTTAGACAATGAGCACTCTAACCCTTATGCACAAAACACTACAACTCCCATCTCCAGCCCCTGTATGTAGAGCTGAACTGAGGTTCTATCCTCAAAACATACCCTCTTAGCCCTTCCTATACACTGCTTGGCCAGACGCTCTCCCCGGCTTCACTGCTCCCAGCTGCAAGCCATGAGGTACCCAGGGCTTCCAAGTGCACTCCCACCATGTTAAACCTACACCTGGCTTTCCCAGAGAGCAGTGGTTCTCAAACAGAAGCACGTGGGAGCCCTAAAACAGAAAGCTGGCCTCCACCCCAAATTTCTGGTGTCAGAGGTGGGGTCCAAAAATTTGCATTAGCATTAAGTTTCCAGATGATGCTGGCACTGAGGAATCCAAGAATGGATTCCAAAGATGGTTTCAAGGAATCCAGGAATCCAAGAATGGTTTCAAGGACTTTTCTTGAACACCAAACACTGCTGACAACGCTAAATCTTCACATGCCTTATATTCAGGGCCAACTGTAACCTCTCTCAAATTTTCAAAAATTCATTGACTACCACCCGGTAGGGCAGCTAGCCCCTTGCCCCCAAGGACTTGGCCTCTTTTGATGCCCTATAGCCTGAAGACAGAGGTAGCCGTGTCTTTATCTGAGCAAGGGCTCATTTGTTGGATGAACTCATGTTTACTGTATTTCTTAGAAGACCACGTTTGGGAAAAGAAATCCCATCAGGGTGAAGTAGCAGCCTTGGTAACCTGTCATGGCCACTCACCACACATCAGCAATCTTGTCTTAAAGGTGTGGGTTCCCAAACCCCCCTGAAATCCTTCCTGCCATCTAAACTTGCTGACCCAGATCTGGCGCCCAAGTGGGCAACGCTCCGAGGTGTGTACTTGTGGGAAAGGGCAGTTACCACTTTCATCAGTTGTTGCAGTTCTAATGAAGGCAACTTATTTGTCAGTTCTGGAATGACCACAGGCCTTGATTACAGTCCCATGTATTAAATGATTCTGCGTACCTGCTATGAACTACAATTGTGTAAATTAGGCATAACTCTAACTTAATTGAAAAACAAAGTCACAATTTATGATTTGTTCTGATTGTCAGCCCTGCCCTAATGAGGCTTCAGCTGGACACATTTACTGACTATAATTACAAAGAACTGTACAGATCTTTAGGGCCTGACAAAGATTTCAATTTTTTTAAAGCCTCCAACATCACAGGCATCATGGCAAATTTTGGAAAACATTATTTTTCATTACAACAAGGCCATCTTAAACTGACACTAAATTCCCTAAAATCTCTTAGGCTCTTTAATAAAGTAAATATAAGTAATGCCACACACACACAAATCCTGATTTATTCCCTGTTTCTTATACATCATTGGCATCATTCTACTTAAAAAGCAACAGTGATAACTCAAAAAAATGTTTAGAGTTTAATTATAAGTGCGTGTTAATCTGAGTAACTTAAGTACAGAAAAGAGTTAGTACACCACAAGCATTTTCTACACTTTTATTTTGTGGTGATTGTGAGACAAACACAGTCCAAACATTTAGATGCCTCGCCCTCCCTCCTGAGGACTATCTGACTCCACAGCTCATGCACCCCCAGTACAGCAGTTTGTCAGGTTGGGATAATGGCTTCTCACCAGGATTACAATGTATCCTTCTGAATCCCTTTCTCATCTTAACAAAACTGCCACATACACATGTGGTTGAGGTGGTCTTTTTTACACTCACCACCAGGGGGCGTATGGGGCGCCGGCGCCTCTAGACCCTCCTCCTGCGTCCGCCTGCCAGCCAGGCCTCTGCCTGAAGCCGGAATCCTCACCTGGACCCGGAAAGGGCATCACAGCGGACACTCCATCATGTACTAAAAGGGTCACATACTAATGAACACTTACAACACTTTCATTCTTGTGCCATTTCTAACAGGGCCACGCAGGTCACTGTGAGATCTGGATCTTTCAGTTCAAGACATCTTCAATTTACCCCTATTTTTTGTCTACACTCTCATTTCAAATCATCTGTGAGTCAAATTCTCTCCCAGGCAGATGAATCACTCCCCGCTAATAAATTAGGTGCTTGGGGGCGAAGTGTTAACTGCCTCAGGCCACTTGGGTGCTTTTTGGGCCAGAAAGACAGTCCCATCACCTGCACACTAACGAATGTAATTGCAGCTGGCAGTCCGGCAGTTGACGCACAAGGTGCTCTAGGATGCAGCCCCAATTAGCAACCTCAGTCAGAACGACCTGCAGGGAGCAGAAGGCCCTAGAGAGATACAGCCCACTCCTAATTATTCCTGGACAGGGAGGAGGTCCAAACCGGAACTCCAAAGGTAACAGAGGGTGGGGGAGGCACAGGCTTCCAAAAGCTGAATGAAGTGCCATCAGCGAGGCTCCAGGCAGCCAACAGCTGCTACTATGTTCAGCAGCTCAGCAGTGTGATCTGGAGTGTACTGAGCATCACTAGGGGCTCCGTGGCGGATCTGCTGCCCCTGTGCACCAGGAATCCCACCCCACACCCACACGCATACACACCACACACACACACGTGTGCACACACACTGTATCTACACAGCCTCAGTGATGACTTAGCACCTCACTGCCAGGAGTTCCTTCTGGAACAGCCGTGCCCGTGTTAAGTTCCTGCACCCACAGCAGCCCTGCTCCGTGACAGCACCAGGAATGCCCTGTGAATGAGCTAAGGAACGAGGGTGGGCTGGAGAGCAGTGCTTAGCTCTCCCTAATGAGCCCACCACCAGCACCTAGTGTTTTCCCAGGAAGAACAAGAGACCTTCCTACCTTGGCCCAACCCGACCATTCATTCAATGCCATCCTGGTTTTCTCAGTTTGTAAAAAATTTTGAGCCAATCCCTTGATCATTTTCCCTGGGGCTCAGTTCCCTCTATCTCTAGAATGAAGGGAGGGAAAAAAAGACACACCCAATTTGACCTTGCAGAACAATAAGAATCAATGGGGAAGCGTTTAAAAATAAATCACAGAGAAGCTCCCCGCTCTGTGGCAGTCTTGCATGTATATACAATGAATTTCCCAGCCCACAGATATGTTTGACCAACACAACCTCATGCTGCATCGTGTACAAGGGTCTGAGAGTAAGTGGCCTGGCTACCGTTTCTTGCTCTGGGCAAGCGATCACCTCTTGGCCATCTTCTTCTCTAAGTCACTACAAGGTGTCAGTGTCAATCATTACCCTCTCCAGGTCCTGCCGCAGGTGCGTGAACAGCTGCAGCCTCCTAAACAAGACATCCTGCTCCCGCTTCGCTAGATTGTCCTCTTCATCTTTCTTTGGAGTGATCAGGGGCTTGTTGAAGTTGACCTTCCTCTTCAACTTCCAGTACTGGTACAGGAAATCCACTACTTCCTCAGGCAGCCGCAGGGCTCTGGCAACATCCAGCAGGTTGACGAAGGTGTAAAACTCATCTTCCAGCTGCTGCAGCTTCTGCTTACGGACACTCACCCGGTGGGCCTCCTCTTGATTCTGCTCAAGGCTGGCAAAGGGCTCCAGTGGACTTCTGGGGGCACACTCAGGGGCCCCGTTCTCCCGCGTGGTCCCCTCGCCGAGGCGCTCCTCGGCTTTCCTGTGGGAGCTGTGCTTCGGACAGTAGGACTTGAACTTGACTTCGTCATTCTCTGCCAAGATGGTCTTCATCTCCAGGCCCCGGTCAAAAGCACAAGTCACATGGAAAGCTGTGCGGCAGTTCTTCACAGAGCACTGGGGAGAACACACAGAGAACAGGAGAAAAAACAATTACCGAGCAACAGTGACTGAAGCCCCTCGGCGCTGGACACCCCCGCGCATAACCAGACAAGCTGTACATGAGTGTGTGCTGGCACAGCTCTATACCATTAGCCCTGGCAGATCTAGCCATGCTGTAAGTAAGGTACGGGTTGGGATTTAAGGGAACTCTTCACATCAAAGGTTTCATAAACCAAACTCTTTGAGAGAAGTAACATAGCTGCTGACAAGCAGACACAATTATACAAATGGCACGTGTAGACAAAGGCGGCCTGGCACTATGATTATGCTCAAAAGAACATGTGCTCAATATGCAGAGTATATTTTGAGGCTTTTTTTTCTTCTAGATTTGAGCTCCTTTTGTATAAAGCCTGAATGATAAGAATCTCCTCAGAAGAATGACAACTAGCCAGTTTTTAAAGCAACGTGAATCTTCATTCCTACCCCCAGCCACGAAGGGTCCCAACATAAGTGGGAAAATAAATGGTATGTCTCCTCCAAGCTGCCATGGGCTGCTCAAGACCAGGAAAGTTAATTTTTAAAAACTCCCCAAGAGTGGAAAAGGACAGAAGCCAAGGAGGACCCAGGGAGCCCAGGGGCACAGGGGAGACAGAAAGGTCCCTGAGCCCGTGGGGGGGTGTCACCAGAAGCCAAAGGCTTCGAGGGCCAGCGGAGGCCTGTGTCTGCCACACCTGGCACCAGAGTGGCAGCAGAACCATGAGGGACCTGCTTCCCATGGGCCACGGGGAGGTTGACCTAGAGGCAAGTCACCACCCAGCTGTTGACCAGCGCACCTCACTGAATACCCCCCTCACTGCCTGATCAGGACAACAACTGAGTGCCTTTGATCCTGATAGCAAGGCCAGGACCTAGCAGGAGAAAAGCAAGTAATTTCTCCCCATCTTGTCTTACTGGGTGTCCCTGGGAGGAGGTTCCTGTGGTGACTGAAGCCAGTTCCTTCAAAGCAACACTATATTGCAGGAGGTCAAGTGATCCCTGGGCACACCAGGGCTGCAGAGGGGAGCAGAGCCCCATGGCCCTCAGCCAGCTGAAAGGCTTAATTAAACTCATTCAACAGACCCTGAATTGCATAACCACAAAAGGCTGAGGCTTGAGCTGGGGCTTTTTCCCCTGAACATTTTCAGTATTTAAGACGTGACTCACTGCCAATCATGATTCTTCCATTATTATGAAGTCTCTTTTTTCCAGAAGTACAAAAATCCAGCTCCCTTCACGATCCCCCCCATTACAAACACTTAACACACATGAACTAACATAAATCTGTAATTTTATCTATAAATAACCTTAACTCCAAGAAACGTGTGAAATCAGCTTTAGTGGCAGCATACACACACACACCTGGCCACTATTCTTAAAAAGAAAAAAAGGTGCTCCTCCCTTTCAGCACACAGCCCAGTGGCAAGTAAAAGCGGGAACAGATGGCTGAGAGACTATCTATGTTTGGCTTAAACTACACTGAACCCAGGCACTCCAACCTTAAAGAGGAATGAGTTGCAGCAGCATATTTATACAGGACTTTGTAAAGACGCCAAATGGCCTTCCTCTGGGTTTTCCTATTCAGGTTGACTCAGCAAACAGACATTACAGAAACGTAAACCAGAGCCTTCCCAACTGCAGACGTTTCAGAGAGGAATTCTTCAATAAAATCAATCCATTCAGTGAGGATACCAAAAATCATCAGCCTTCCCTGGCCTCTTCTCCTTCAAATTAATGCTCTGGGAAAAAGAGGCCAATGGCAACAAAAAAGTCATTTTATCTTCTTTTCAAAAGAGAAACAAAGATCCCATTTGCCCACCTCCTGGTAAACATCAGTTAAGGACCAGGATTGGTGAGCTCAGCAAAGGGCATAAATTCTATCCTCAGAAGAACATCAGGTTAACTTGAAAGAAAATGATTTCTATTTTCCTTGGTTTGCCACAGCCTGTTTCCTGAAGTGTTCATGTGGGTATGTCTGCACACAAACACACACATGCAGCTCTAGTTGTTTTTTTTATGCTGAAGCTTCAAACAATTATTCTCCTCCAGAGTCTCTCCCAATACAACTCTCAGGCCAGAAGCTTCGGTCATGTTCTAGCTTTAACTATTCTGTTCACATACAAAAATCTGCACTATTTTCAAGGTCTGCAGCCAAGTCCCACCAGCTGTCTCATGCCTCACCCTCTAAATATGTTACATTTCGGGTTCTTGAACTCCAGTGGAAGTGGATAATGAAGAAAAGTAGAACTGCTTGGCTTATAAAATGAAAAAATGTTAAAACTACCAATCACTAGATAATTTACTCAAAGAAATATGCATCAGACAAAATACAACAGATTTTGCCAAATGAGGTCACTTCTCTAAAACCCACAATTGACAGTTTGACCAAGCTTGTGGAATCTATGTCTGCACTAAGCTCTGTGTTTCCTGCATCAAGAGAGAAAGACCCCCCAAAACCAGTGCCTCTGCAATCAGAATGGGACCTGAAGATGCAGGAAGGGCCTGTGGTCCTGAGCTGAGACCTCCCAGAGGTGGAGCCACACTCAGCCTTTAGGGCCAAGTCAACCACACACAGCATTGGGAGACCTTGGCAGAATGGCATCTCAGGCCTCTTAACTCAAGGATTGTCTCGATGTCAAAACGTGAGGCCCAGAAAGTAACTTCTCAAGTAGAGTTTTAGGAAACATGAAAAAAATAGCACACCATCTCTTTCTCTCCGTAATTCTACCTACCTTATGACATTCTATACTTGTCTGTGTGTGGACACAGAAAATGCAGGCAAAATTTTTACATGCAAGCTCTCTCTGTGCCCCCCACCCCCACCAACACAAATCGCCATGAAAAATCAGATTTCCCAGTTGTGTTCAGGTAACAGATTCTGCAAAGGATACTTGGCGCAGCACATCCTGGGTATCCCTCCACCTGCAGCTGGTGCTTCAAGAAGCCTGTATTTTACGAAAAGCATAAACATGCCAAGCTGATTTCAAAGGGTGTGTGCCCTTAAGGCAGAAGCATCCCACACACTCCTCCGAAACCAGCGGTGTCAGGAGGCAGCCACAGAGGCAGGGAGCCAACTCCCAGTGCCAAGACTCTGGTTCATGCCGAGAAGTGTCTGGTGAGGGGAGAGCTGTTGTGCCAGACTCGGGGAAGAAAGGAAGAAACTAGAGGCCAATAAGAACTGCCTTAGAGCTCAAGCATACTTTGGAGCTGCCCTGATTGTTACAGATGGGGCTCCTGTTACGGAGAACACAGTCCACCACCAGAGGGGTTCATACCAGGTTGGAGTAAGGAGGGCTGTCCTGCTTCCTGCACTCTAGTCCCATCACGTCCTCTGCCACTTCACAGAGCCCTCCATCAGCCTGCTCCCCACAGCCAGGGAATGAAGCCCTCAAGGACTAAGTCAGTCACCTGTATGGAGGCCCCAAACTTCTCGCTGCAGAGGCTGCACACCAGTGCCCACCGACTGCTGGGGATGTGGGACACCTTCGTGATGGGCTCCATCTTCTCGGGGCTGCCGATGCTCACCTAGAGGCCCAAGAAAGAGCAAGACAGGTGGCAAAGGCCTTCAGACAGACAAAGGCTGGACACAAATGCAGACTTCACAATCCATTACTTTCCTGCAGCCTACCTACCAGAGGGTGGCAAGGGGCATGTGCCCTCCTAGGCCAGGCAAACTCCTACTTTAAAGCAGCAGGACATCACAGGAGAGCCCAGAGCTCAGGCCCCAAGCTCCACAGCCTCCATGTGCCTGGGGCAGGGCTATCATCTTACAGAGATGTCCCTGCTTGTAAAAACACTCAGATAACTGAATGTTCACTTCTCACCTGAGTATCTGACAGCAAAGACAGGTGTGCATCAGGACAATGTGATCCACACCACCTCTGGCCCACAATGAAGTGGTCAAGACTGAAAATCCATCTTAAGTATATTTTAAAAGTCTTTGAAGTATGGAATAAGTAAATATAAACTGCTTTTAGTATCTCTCATTAAACAATTCTCTTCTAACAATATGTCTAACTAATAAATTCTCTTCAGTCAGAAAAGACTACCACATTCAACGTGGGAAATGACCAAAGCGAGTAAGGCCCCGTCCTCTCCTGCATTTAGCACGGGCCCCTCAACTGCACCCCTCAACTGCACAGCCTCCTACCCACCAAGACCAAAGCCATGAGACTTCATTCTAAGCCATCCCCAGATAATCTTCCTCAGGAGGAAAAATGCTTCAAAATCACATCATCAAAAAATGCTGAAATTTGAATCACAAATGATATACTCTCATAGTGAGCCATGCAAATCAAGTGAGTCAAGGTCTGGGACTTTAAATAAATTAGACCAGACCTGAAATTAAAAAGGCTGAGGCCAAGTAAAGATTTTAATAACAATCACAAAAGTGACCTAGAAGAGTGGCTTCTTAACCTCAGTGGGGGCCACATGTACAAGCTCACCATGCCCAGGGACCTATAGCCAGTCTCCGGGTAAGGACACACCCATACCCAGGCCACAGCCAGGAAGGCTGCAGGCCCTGCCCTGGGAGCACACGTCAGTGGCAGGGTCAGCTGCAGTGAATATCTGAAGCCATGACCAAACACCACCAACCCACACTCCGACTCACTGCTGCTTCCAGTTACCACTTCCACAAATTTACATACCATGACACGGTCAAAGTGTGCAGTGATCAGGTAGCAATTAAGTGTCTTTTAACTCATCAGCTACAGTGCCGCCACTTATTTATAAATGGCTCCCCACCCCTACCCCCACCCCCGCTAAAGCCCAAGACCTCCTGAGCTAAGCCATTATTAAGAACCACATCTACCTCAGGGATCCACAGAGCACAGCTGACATGGACCCACTTGGTCCCACTGCGGGTCGGCTTCATAGCTCCTCCTTTCTTGGGACACAGCAAGCACTTTGGCTGAACCCCCAGGGCGCACGTCCGGCACAGCCAGCTGCCCTCTGGGACCTTGAGGATTCCGTAACAGGCCTGTAAAGCCACAGCACATCCCCAAGGGAAAAGGAGAGAGAGAAAAAAGATTTACATTTCTCAGTGTATGTATTAATTTAAAAGCACCCACAAAGCTTTTTAAAAAAGAGCAGATGGGACCCACTTAGGGAAAAATGCTGGCAGCCTCGGAGCAGCAGGCGGCAGGTATCTGCGATCTTCAGGCACAGCACGTATCTCCCTACCCGGGGGGTGGTCCCGAAAACTACTGGAGGACAGCAAGTCCACAAAAAGTCTACTTTGCTATGTTGCTGCAGATGCCGGCTACACCGCGTCTCTACTTTTTGGCCACAAACACCCTGCAGGGCTCAGCAAGGGAGTACAGTCCTCTCTTACCTACTGGTGTAGGTGGGACGCAAAGTGAGGAAGAAAACCACAGTGCAGTGGCGAGCCTCCCACAGCTATTAGTGAGACAGCAGTGGGAACAAGAAAGGAACTAAGGAGCATCTTCATTCCCTGGGCGGAGCAAACTCTACTAACTAGATTCCAACACTCCCAAATGAACACAGCAGGCACAGAAAAATGAAACACTCTAGACAAAGAGAATTTGGTCTCTTTAGCTGATATTTAAAACAAAGCCTGTTTCGCACAAGATGGCAAAATGACACAAGACAGAGGCAACTGCAGAAAGCAAGGCATTTACAACCAAAGTCATCAAGATGATTCAAAGAAAGAAAAGGCAAATGTTAAATGAGTGAAGGAACAGAACTATGATGGTACCAGGAGCACATTCAGAACCTTTTAAAAACACCAAGCTGCTCAGAACTTTATCCTTAAATGATCTAGAAGTCAGGAGGCTGAGACACATACGCTACCAGAGCTCCAGGCCTCCAGACAGGAAGCACACAGCAGCCATGCAATCTGAACATCCAAGGCACACGAGGGAAGCCACAGGACAGGGGTGGCCCTGAGACTGGAGCTGAAGAGCACCGTGTCATTGCCATGAACGTACCACTGTCAACACAGACTGGGGGGAAATTTCAATGAAATTCAGTGACACTAAGATTTCAAATGCTGAAAATGTCTCTAGGCATTCTAAAGAAAGTCACATTTGAAGAGGTAACTTATTTTACTGGAAAAGCAAGTCAAAGCTTAATGAAAAGGTTAAAGTATGTCTTAAAGACACACCATGAAGAACATCTCAAAATAAAAATGAAGTAACTGTTAAGGAAAACAGACAATGTGGCAAGGCAGAAAGAACAGGAGCCGGACACGGGGATGGGAGAGGGGCTCCAGAGGCCCTGAGGGGCAGTTCCGACTCTGCCACTGACCCACAGTGGTGCCCTGAGCAGCCCTGCCCCCCTGACACCAGTTAGCTCATTTATAAAAGGAGGGTTCAAATAGTTTTCATGTAGAGACCCTTTTTATTTCAAATATAGTTTCTCTTAAAAGAAAAACAAACAAGTAAAATGGCAGGAAAAAAACTGAAATTTCATCCAATAACATCAGCAAAAGAAAGCAACAGTGTTAGTCACAATCATGATCTTGATACAATAAAACGCTACAAGAATTCTCCATTATCCCAAGGCAACTTCCTACACACTTTGAAAACCCAGAGCTACATAACAGGCGATAACAAAACTAAAGCAAGAGACTGTGGTCACGGCTCCTCGTCAAGAGGAGATGCGGGCAAGGCCACAGCTGGAAGTCTGCAGGCAGAAGGGCACCCAGACAAATACAAAATATAAAGAAAAATGACAGCCAAGAATTTCACAGGGCAAACTAAATTTTTCTTCCCCAGAGGTCACCAAAATACCATTGAGTCTTACTTTTAAGTCTGTTTTAAATCTCAGCATCAACAGGTGAATTCAAAGAAAGTACCTCAGGATACCCTTTTAATACATAAAAGTGTACATAACATATGTCCCCACAGAAATCCAAAGTACTGTTAATGCATTAAAAAATAAATGGAACTGCCAAGCAAAACTGAGGTTGTCACAGCTTTTAAAATCACCCAGTGCTCATCCTTACTGGAGTAGAAGGGTTTACTTTTCTGTGGGTGCCAGCAAGCAGCCAACCTGATCCAACCAGTATCAGAGAGCACGGGAAATAGGTAAGAAAAGGGACCTCTTTCCTCTTCTTTAACAGTTCAGTTTGTAAACTGACACGTTAGCAAATGTTGTGGGTTGAATTGTGTCCCAAGAAAGATATGTTGAAGTCCTCATCCTGTGCCTCAGAACACAAGCTTACTTGGAAATAGGGTCGTTGTAGATATCATCAGTTAAGTAGGGTGGGCCCCTAAGCCCTTATAAGGCAATGGCCATGTATGAAGGCGCGCATGCATGCACATGGGTGCAAATAGGGGTACATACATGCATATACACACACACACACACAGGCACACGCATGCACACACATAGGCAGGTGCACACACAAGCAAACCCACACACACAGGATGAGATGATGAGGCAGAGACCAGCATAGCGTAGCTGAAACCCAAGGAGTGAAAGCTCTGTCAGCAAACCACCAGAAGCCGGTGGCAAGGGAGAATTTTCCCAAAGGGTTTTGGAGGAAGCACAACCCTGTCAAATGTTATTCCAGACTTCTGTGCTGATTCAGCACTGCAAGACAATACACTTCTTTGTCTTAACCACCCAGTTTGTGGCATTTGTTATGGCAGCCCCAACAATTTACTACAGCCAACTAACCATATTTTAGGAGCTTTTTGTTATGCCCCTAGTGTTAATACCTTACTCAGGTGCTTGAAAAGGGGAGAGGCAGCTCATATATTCTTTTTGAGCAAACCTGACTTCTATGGATGGGAATAAAAACCTAACGTGAAGAAAAATTTCCACAGAGGATCCTATTCTTCCCATTGTAAAGCAGCAGGAAACACTTCAAACACTGTGAGAACCTATTAGGAACAAAAGGATGTGTCCATAGGGCACAATTTTTTGCCTCACTGAAGACAGCAAGGAGAATGGACACCCTTTCGAGGAAGACCCCGGGCTCTCCAGCCACCATGGCGGCAGATGGGCATGCAGGCCAGGGGGCCACTTTCCGCCCACGCACCTGGTGCACACAGATATTACACTTGTCACAGAACACCATCTCGTTGCCATCCTCCCCGTCCGGCGACTGGCAGACGTCACAGACAACGTCTTCATCATACTCGATCCCTAGGCCTTCTTCAGTCTCGATGGCGTGATTCATATTGTCATAGCAGCGCTGCTCAAACTCCTCCAGGACCCTCTCCATGGTGTATTCATCCAACTCAGGCATTCCTGAAGGAAAAATGTCACCAAACACATTAATAAATCCATTAATAATAGTATATGTATAAGTAATTTACAATGATAAATCATCTTATAAATCAATCTATCCTGAGTGCCCAAATGTTTTCCACTGGATGCCTCTCAGACCCTTCCAAGGAAGGATCATCAAGTTAATAACAGGCAAAGTTTTTCATGCAACAGTTTGTTCCTTATGGTCAGGTGCTGAAGATGCAGTGTTCTAAGCAGAAAAACAAAAGATAAGTCCCAAAAGGACTCAAGGAAATTAAATACATATATTATTAAATCATCATTTCATTACAATATTATATATAACTAACATGTAAGTGACTTCAAAGCCATGATCACATATTATGGTCTGAGTGTGTTTTAAAAGCATTACTTTCTTGCTGCTTAAAATAGTGCTCTGAAAACAGATTTCACTGTGAGCGTACAAGTGTTTTTCACTGGTTTATCCCTCACCTTCTGAATTTACTGAGTTGAGATAAATAGTTAACCAGACACATGAAAGGCAGAAACACACGGACTGTCTGAAGCAAAGGAAACAGCCCACTGTGAATCAAATAAAATGCCTTCTTATGCAAGAATGATCAAAAATAAATTTCAAGTTTCAAGTGGTTATTGTGGTTATAGCTAGTGGTGGGATAGACTTTTTATTTTCTTTCATTTGTAGACAGACTCCAAACTTCCTACAATGAAAATATTCATACAAAAAGAAAAAAAAATCAAAAAATATTCAAACAGAACATTTAAGAGGTAAGAAACAGCAGAAATATCATTAAAACCAGCAATAAATTTTATGCATTATTATACATGTACAAATGTCAAATTAACATTTCTCAAGTCTTTAAAAATTTGGAGAACACACAGAGGTGACACTGTAATAAGCTCTGAACAGGTATTCAAAAAGCTACTGATCACCTCAAACCTTATTTATTTATGCAATGGTCTCTGCCCAGCCAGGCACTTCCACCTCAATTCCTCCGTTTTAAAAATACCACCAGCTTTGAAAATATAATCCTATGCCCTGTAATGAATTTACCATTAAAGACCAATAAAAACTAAGACAAATGCTTTATTTAAACATGGGTTCAGTTAATGTTATACAACTGCACAACTTACTTTGCCCAAGTATTCAGCACCCCCTCAATCTGAGTTACCACCAAGCCCCTCGTGTCTCCAGCTGTGTTCCCGCCATAACACAGGACGCTGGGTCAGCTGTGTGTTAAACTAGTCTTTTATGAAGCAGAACTTTATATAATCTTTGGAGCTGAAATACATTGTTCAGTTCAAAGAAAACTCCGAAAACTTCTAAACAGAGCCTGTAAGACAACTTCCTGGCTTGCTGACATTCTAGCCACTGATACCTAAAAACAAAGACTATAGGAAGGAAATCTACTTTGTCAAAATACTTGAGTAAGGAAACAAGGAGAAAATAACTCTCGCGGCTCAATCCCCACTATCACTCCTTTGGCAGGCAGGCGAGCAGCAGGGCAGCACAACAGCAAGCCCTTGCTATGTGCCCGGCCCGTGCCAGGTGTGGGGGTTAATGCAAACCAAAGACAGTCTTTGTCCTTCAGGGCTTTGAAATCTACAACCTAACATTTCATATATACTTACGGTTGTGCTAGACCACAAACAAGTAGCCCTGCCACCATTTCCCACCTGCACCCAGGGCACAAATGCTAACTAATCCTCATAGCCTGTCACCCAGAGCCCACACTTGACCTCATCATTTTGCTTATCACGGCACTTCAGGCAACCTCTGGCATTCTGGTCCCAACACCAGGAGATGCAAAACCCTGAGCTGTACTCTCAAGCAAGTAACTCTCAAGCAAGAGATCACAATGGGCAGAGCACTCAGCTAAGGCAAGGCTCATGAGGAAAGCCAGGATGGAGAGAAACAGGTAAGATATGAGGGAAAAGCATCCAGGCTTGGAGCAGGCCTTATGGAGAATCTGAGGTGAACGAGACACAGGAGCTGGCTGGAAAAATGGTGAGGCAGCTGGAGCAGTTTATTATGAGAAATGAGACACGGTGAAGAAAGGAGCTGAATGCCGCCACAGGACAAACACCTGCACAGAAAACTGTGTGGACCAGACCTTTCTGGGACCTTGGGGAGATCCCTTCATTTCTCTGGGCTACAATTCCCTTGGGATAAATAAGCAAGGCAGGCAGCGTAGGGCGGGGACAAGGCATCCTGATACCATGCCTGCAGAAGCATCCCTCCACAATCCCCCCCTCTCTCCATGAGCCACCTCAGCACTCCCGTCACAGCCGCACAAACTGATCCCCAACAAAAAGCCATGCTTCTGAGACGAACCCAGGCTCCGAGGTGCTGGCCTCACCAGGGATGAGGAGCTTCCGCTGCCCACTGGGTGCCTGGAGTACTGCTCCACTCAGCACCCATGCACGTACGACATGACCCACGGACTCTCACCCATCTCCTTCAGCTCCTCATTGGTCAGTTCCAGCCATGCGGCATCCATGTCATTGAGGTCGTAACGACACACACTGTCAGCCAGCGTCCGGATGTCAACGTAGCCCAAGTCGGGAGGCTCGGAGCCTGAGGAGACGATGTATTTCTTGGGCCTGATGAACATGAGGGATTTCTCTTCAGAGACGACCCTAGTTAACAAGAAAGCAAAGTAGCCAGGTCATACTTCCCCCGACACATAAAGAAGCCTGACAGAGGACCCCGAGCTAACTTCAGCCTCAACTCCCAAACCTCAGGCCATCATTAGGTGAACAGACTTAAAACCTTAATGTCACTACTAATAGAACTAAGTAGGAGTTGGCAAAGCCCCCAGGATGTGAAGACCATGCAGGAGTATCACCTGGCTTCCCAGGACACTGCATGACCTGTTCTATCTGATGACAGCAGCTGCTCTGGCCTGCTGGCAACACCAAAACGCTGGCTTCCAAAATTTCAGGGATTAGCAATCACAACACTTCCTACTAGCCAGGCCTGCCCCAGCCTGCCAGAGGCCATGCACTGGCTCTCAAAACCATCAGGAGCCGGAGTAGCCATGCGTACACAGCCAACCCTGGGGAACCAAGGGAAGCAACCCATGCCCCCGACCTTGGCTGCTACTAAGCAGTCTAAGAACCAGAGTCCTTGCCAAGGGGGCGACCCTCCAACATGCACTGAGGACCCCAGGACAGGAATGCATCTCCTTCTTCTCACACTCCCATTTCTCCCCAACCTGTTACTCCCTGAGGAAATGCTCTCCACAACACCCCACTCAGAAGAAATGTCAGCACGTGAGATGCTCAAGTCACCCGCTCCCTAAAACAGAGGCCAGCGTCAGAGACCCCTTACATCCACACAGCTACACCATCTCTGGCTGCCAGGACTCTGTGGTAACATCAACCAAGTGGTCCAAAGAGTTTATCAAAGTATTTTCATCACCCTTATGATTACCAGAGTTGAGTTTCTCTACACAACACTGAGATGGTGTCCTACTCAACCAAGAGCAGGGTTTCAGCAGAAAACTTCCGTAAGCTTTTAATGCCTGTTTGTCTTGTGCCAGGCTCCCAAATAAAATGGAAGGATCCAGTGAGCGATACCTAGGATGGGACTGGGGATGCCGAAACAATCGGTGCCATGCCCCAGATGCAGACTCTAAAGAAACACCCTGGGCTTATCCCGAAGAGCCCAAGGAAACCTTCCACACCCCAGGCTGGAAGTCTGGCCTAATGAGGCATCTGATTGGTCATTTAAGCCTGTGTATTTACATCAACATTTGTCACAGAGGTCTCAAAACAATAATCATCAAATCTGATCATCTCAAGTGCCTGAAGCGACACCAAGTGGGTGAGGGCTGACAGGTAAATTCAGTCTACACTCAGCAGGGTGAAAGAGGCCATTTCCCCAAGGAGGCAGCAGACTGAGAGCAGGGGAGCCCAGTGCCAGCCAAGCACAGAGGGCACTCGATCCGCTCTCCCTATCAGAAGCTGCTGGGTCAGCGGAGCTGGGTAGCAAGGAAATGAGCACACCAGCCCCAGCTTTATGCTGAAGCAGGTCATCAAGGACCCAACCGCCAAGACCCTGAAGGGGAGAAGTGGGTTTGTAAGTAAATCCAGAGAAAGCCTTACAAGAACAACAGGGCAAAGGCCATCCACAGAAAAACCCACCAATACGTGTCTCTTCCAAAGCTCCCCTTCTACATACCCCTAAGCCGGTCGGCCTCCTCACACCTGTTCTCCTGCAACAGGGAAGCAATCGACCACTGTAGGACCCAAGAAGTGACCCTTACTGGCTTCTGTCCTGTAGAGCTCCTCTCCAGACTCAACTTGATTTGGGTGATTGGGGGTAAGAGGTTGGGGTGCAAGTGCAGGAAAAGAGGAAGCAGCTGTGCAAACATCTGAATTTCTCTCCCCAAGCCAGGCACTTCCCAGATTGCTCTCCTCTCCTAACAGGGCAGCACCTTCCCAGTAAAGCAGCAATGCTAAATTCTGAGGCCCACAGCCCTCAAAATCACTACGACCCTTTGGACCAGAAGCGTGTTTCCACCACCTCTCTATTTCCACTTGAGGCCACACATTATTTCACAGCTAACTCAACCATTACTCCTCAGCCTCCTGGCTGCTGGGGCAGGAAGGCAGTGGCAGGTGGAGAGGCCCGTCTACCTGGCCACAGGCTGAGGGACGGTCCCAGGACTCACGGGCACCTGGACCCCTTTCTCCCACTCCTGTCTCCAGGGATCTGCCAACACATAGTACTCATCCGGGTTCAGCTGGTAGGAATCATGCAACTTCATAGCAGTGATCAGGTCTGTCCGAAACACCTGGAATGGGAGAGAAAGGGTCACTGATTGATATTTACATTCTTATTCAAAACACTGGCAGCTGCAGGGTAACCATGGAGCTGCCCTGTAACAAAGTCACTGTACCAACAAAGAACCGGGCTGACCTGTACAGGAAAGCCCTCTGCCTGTCATGCCCTCGGCCTCTCTCAGGCTTGGTGCTGGCAGCTTGCCCCGCTCACTCACTCCCACATCAGCTATGCAGAAGTTTCTACAATAGCAGCAGCTTGCTGTCCTCCCCTGAAACACTTCTGAGAACTCTCAGTTCAAAGGAGGGCTGCTGCGAACATGCGCCTAAGATCCTAGAGGGAGATATTTCACTCAAGGGTGCTCTTTTGGTAAATGTTTAAGAAATAAAACTCCACTAACCATGTAACAATTTTAATCCAAAGCTCAGGACCACTAGGGCCTCCTCATCTATACTCAAGACTGCCACCACCCAGGGCACCAGGGCTTTTACAACACGGGGTCTGGGAGGCCAGGCCCTGGATGGCTAGTGCTAGTTAGAAGCAGAGGCTGGAAAAATCTGGGAGAGAGGCAATGACAGACCCATGGTGTCAAGTCAGAGAATAGGCTTGTAAAGAACATGTTTTTTGCACAGCTTTATCTGGCAGAAGTTCTTCAAGGGAAGCGGCACTTGCAGGGACAGATGAGGAGGGGAAGTAAGGGAGGAAAGGAGAGAGAAAGAAGAAAGCAACTCCGACCCTCTCCTTGTCCTGTAAAAGGCAGACCCAGAGACTCAGGTACCCCTCTGGCAGGACAGCTCCTCAACCCCTCACTGCAGGCCTCGAGGGGAGCCCCACAGAGGTGGCCTGGACTGGGCCGCACCCGCAGCCCCTCAGTCTCAGGCCTACACAGGGAAGCTCTGACCCTGGCATCAACACGGGCCCCAAGTTGTATTTGGCACAGAGCATGCCTGCATCTGTAAGCTACACTCTCTGTTTACACAAGTCACAATGCTGAACTCTCCCTTCTTGGGACAGGGAGTTCTTTCGTGTGCTGCTAAGCACAGTTCACATTATATGCCTGCTAATAGGTCCATGTTTGTTTTTCCTGGTGGCTTTTCAGGCTGGTGACCACTTTAATAAAATTCACCATAATAAAGTCTGAGGCAGTGTCTAAATAAAAAGGCCAATTCTTCAGCTTGCCATTTTTGAAACCAACTTTCTTTCCTCAGCATGCCACTCCTGTTTTTAAAGTCCCAGAAACAAGCAAGAACCTGGCTGTACACCCTCTACAAAAGCACAAGTAAGGTCAGTCCCCTTAGAGTGCTGAGCCCGTGAAGCAGGTGCCTGGTCCACATGTGCATGAACTTTATCAGCCACACCTTCCCCACCCCCAGAGAGAAAAGTCCTTTAAAACAAAGTCACAGGTTTACATCTTCAGGAAGCAAATTACTTAAAAACACATTCAACTAAGTCTTATAAGCAAAAAATAAGGGAGTTTGCCAAAGAAGGAAAATCAAACTGAAGCAACGCGATGAGAAAAGGCAGCCCACCATTCCTTTATGCAAAGACACAGATGAGGATAGTCAAGAACTGAAACAGATGCCCTCAAACGGACTCCCGAGGCCCTGGCAGAGTTCGTTAGAACTTTAAAGGAGTTTGAACTCAGAGCTACACTCAGAGAAATTTCAGAAAAAGTCTGAAACAAAACATAGCCGGCACCATCCTCACTGCTTAGTGCCACCCTGGAAGGGGGTTTCAACTACACCCCGGGGCACACGTGCTCAACATGGTGCCATCTCCCTAGGAGAGACCCCTGTATTCCTGCCCTGAATGAGAACAGTGTAGTAGCATGGAGCAGAGCTGCTCCAATACCACAGAGAATGAGGGGCTACCACAGGCCCTCACAAGGACAAAGGCCCGGCATGAATCAAGTCAGTGAAAGGCCGCCTTCCTGAGACCACTTGGTCTAATGTTGGGATGGTTTTCTGCAGTGCTGAAGGATGTGGACCACTTTCCTCATGAAGGGTTTATTCCACAACTAAATCACCCCGATAACTCAACACAGTGCCCCCAACATTCCCCTTACAGTTGGAGAAAAAGAAGTACCTCCTGGAACGTGGGTCTCTGCTCGGCCACCACAGGGTGAGGCTGTCTGTGAAGTCATCCCTTTAGGAGGCAGCACAAGACCAAGGAGCTGAACCAAAGACTCCCTTTCCCATAACTTGCTCTCCTGAAAACTGTGACAAGCTAAAATGCCTTTTCTTCAATCATTTAACTCCTCAGAGCCCAGCAAAGGCTGTCAGAGAATACAGATTTCAGGACTGGTAGGGACCCCTATTCAACAAAGGCCAGCAGGAAAATGCACCTAAAAACAATTTTAAGTATCGACAGATGAGAGCGAGAGAGAGAGAACAAAATGTGGGGGAGCAGGGAAACATAAGATGAGAAACAAATTGGAAAAGAAGGGGAAAAAGCCTTAAGCATAATCCCCAAAACAGAACTCCCAGAATTACATTGGGTTGTTGCCAAACAAGCCACAGACTCATGGCCACAACTAACTTGAGGCTGGCAGTGACTGGCAGCAGCCGAACCCGCTCATCTCCTGGCCAGAGGAAAAGCTGTTGGGAGCCAGCGAAGATGGAACAGAAAAGGAAAAAAAGAATATAATTAATAATAATAGCTAACATTGACTGAGCACTTCTTTATGTGCTGTATGTATTAACCTCTGTGTATTAACCCACTTAATCCTCACAAGAATCCTATGAGGTAAACCACCTGTGAGAGCCCCAGTTTAACAATTTGGAAACTGGGGCACAGAAAGGTCAGGTAACTTCCCCAAGATTGCAGACAGACATCAGTATCAGTCAACCAGGTGTGTATGTCAATTGTATGCACTCATGCACACATGGATAACGTGCAAAGTCACACAGCATTCAGGAAATACCTCTGAAGGTTTTCGATCTTCATGTCTAGAGCAGGAACTTCTCCTGTGCTGGGATCGGGAATTCTGTGACCAAGTAGTTGACAGGCCTAATGACACAAATATACAAACAGGAACAGTTAGAAGTACGCAAATCACTGAGTGTTCAAGGGGCTTTTTTTTTTAACCACTCTGCAGGGCTCACAGCTCAGTGCCACCTAGGAGGTGAGCACCAATGCTCTGTAGGAGCTCTTCACCTGGACAGAGCTTCTCTACTTCCCTGTATTTAAACACTCACCACTTTGCACAGCAGACCTAACAAGATTTTTGTGGCAGCGCTGTGCTCAGGGATGCTGCATCCCAGATACAACACAAAGGAGGAGGAGAGGCCTTATAAGAACACCCTGCATGTGGAGCCATCCCTGTTAGCCTGAACTTGAGATTCAAAATCTCACATTGGTAAAAACACAAATTGAAAAACATCTGACTGAGTTTCAGTAAACTTTCTTGATGCTAAGGTCATTATGCTAAATCCTAAGGCCACCCCAAAACTAAAAGGAAGTTTTGACTCCACAAAGCATAAAAACTTAGCATTCCCTAGTATAGGAAATACTCAGACCTACGGGAGAGACTAGGCATGATAGCCAAATAACCTTTCACAAGAAAATGCCAATTGGCTCTTTTCTGTGTCTATCTTCCACAACTAAATAACCAGCCCTGTTGTCCAGCGTCGACCCAACAGGCCACAGAAACTGGAAAGCTCACCAGGACACGTGCATCTCCCAACTGCCGCCAAGCACACTCCCCTCTCAGGCCTAAGACCTCTCCTCAGCACTGAGTCCATCTAGCTTGAGACGCCCCCTCAGTCTCGCTGGCAGTTCTCTTCCCTGATGTCCACGCTGTGGTCCTCATCTTTCATGCATCCCGTTTAACATTAGTGTTTCTCCTTTATTCTCTGGTCTTGCTCCAAATGTTCTCCCTGGGGAGTGCTCAACCTCACCCATGGTCCTACCCAGCCTGCCACCACACTGTCAGACCTGCATTCCCACACTAACCTCCCACCCAAGCTCCAGGTCCACGCCCACCTTCAGTAAGACGTCAGGTTCAGTGTGTTCAGTGTTCCTCAGATCAGTCAAGTCAGAACTACAAAAACCAGGCTCAACATTTTACACAAACCTGTTTCTCTTAAAATTCTTCTGGGATGAATATCACAACCATTCCTACTTTATGTCAGAAATCTTAGAGTCATCCTAGACATCCCTCACTCAGAACACATCCAATCAATGGCCAAGTCCTATCAATTCAATAGTCCAATATCTCAGATTCCCAGACCCTCTTTCTCCACCTCTTACCACCTGTCATATAGCCAACTGCAGTGGCCTCCTCCATGTGTGGGTGACATACCACTGCCAGGGAGAGGGAACAGCCCTCACAGCCACGAGCAGTATGTGTCTGACTTCCCAATAAATCATCTCCTCCCCAAACATACACAGTACCATTTCCCAGAAGCTAACAACCCCCCCAAAAACAAAAGCCAAAACCTGAAGGAACTGCCATTCTACCAGTAAAATCACTTGTCATTCAAAAAGGAAGTTCTTACCGCTACATAGTCTGAACAAGGGACACCAAAACAAAGCACCCTTACAACCTGGGCATGTGAAGGAACAGACTGTGCACACAAGCCTACCATCAGGTTTGCGATGCCCGAGACTAAGGGGGACTACCGAGATCCCCTCTGCCCGGGAACACGCCGGCACTGTCCCTGGTCACCACTTCAAGGCCTGCTGCTGGGTCGGCAGAAGTGGATGGTGGCCTACTGTACTGCTCAGTAAATACTTCAGAAAATTCTGCTTTTACAAGTAAGTCTGCCTCTTCTGACTCCAATGAACAAGGACATCTCACCCCACACTGAAAGGAATATTCTGGGCACACTGGGGTGAGCCTAACTTGCACAGGTTCCAAATCTGGTCTTCACTTTCAAAAGAAGGGAAGATAGCCCAGTTAGGGGCCTGGAAAAGCAGGCGGCTGGGTAGCCCAGGTCTTTAGAAAGGCCTCTTGTGCCCTCTGATCCAGCAGGCCACCCTCCTCCCAGCCCAGGAGCTGACAGAAGAGAAAGAGGAGAATACAAGCAACTCCAGGTGGATGCCCAGGGGTCAGGGAGGGGGAAGGCAATGCAGAGTGGAAATGGAAAGGATTATAAATGATAAAGAACAAAACAAGAAATTTAAAAAGAATCATTGCTATACTTTAAAAACTAATATGGGGTGAAGAGAGGCAAGTTTTATAGTCAAACACCTCCAGAGTTAAAGCAGATACAACAGATTCACTCGTTTTTGGATTGGGGGACTCTCTTTCCTCTTCTTGGGGATATGTCAGGATGCCTCCAGGGTAGTTTCCAAGTTTCCCAGGAAGCCTGAAGCTTTGCTGGCATAAAACACAACTCAAGTAATCGCAATCAATTATAAACTTTTCCTAGGCCTGCTTTTGTATTCTTGAAAAATCTTATCTGCACCACATTTGCATTTAAAAACAGATATCCAAACATGCTACAAATTTGGTTATCTGAGAGTATTACCCAAGAGAAAATTTCTGGTCCACCCAGAAATAGTCTGTTCCTCTTCCTTTTAATGTACCTAATGCAAAAGGAGGAAGAGAAAAATTAATCCTATTAAAGTCACTGTGCAGAAAGGGAACAAATGGATAAAAAGCTAAGTTTAAATTATCACTGACAAAAGGAACGTTCACAGCTTATTTATAAAGGCCAAAAACCAGAAACCACCCAAACATTCCCACAGACTGAGTGAATAAACAAACACTGGTGACCCATACAACAGAATAAGGCCCAATCAAAAGCAACAGGCTGTTGATAAATGCTACATGGATGAAATAATTATGTGAAATAAAAGAAGCCAGACAAAAAAAGTACATACTTTATTATTCCACTTATAAAAACTCTGGACAAAACTAATCTATAGGGACAGAAAGTAGATCAGAGGTTGACTGGGCAAAGCAAGAAGGTGGATTACAGTTGAACCTTAACATGGGTTTGAACTGCACAGGTCCACTTACATTCACACTTTATTCAATAAACATCTTGGAAAAGGTTTTGGAGATTTGTGACAATTTGAAAAGAACATTTTCTTTTCTCTAGCTTATTGTAAAGAATACAGTATACAAATCAGATAACATTCAAAATACATGTTAATCAACTTTGTGTTAACAGTAAGGCTTCTGGTCAACAGTAGGCTATTAAGTTTTGGGGTAGTCTAAAGTTATACACAAATTCTTGATAGCATGGGGTGGGGGCATAAAGGGGGGATAGGTGCTCCTAAGCCCCATGTTGTCCAAGGGCCAACTGTGTATTAAGTTTTATAATTTCATGGGTGTGAGCATGTCAAATGTATCAAAGTATATACCATAAAGTGTACAGAAAACAACTGATGATTTTCTATTCTCTCTTAACAGTAAAGAGAAAGAAAGGGCTCCCATTTATTTTACACAGGTGGTTTGTATAAAGCAGATTTTGCTGCTAAAAACCAGGTGAAGAACCGGATAGTGAACTAGAGGATCCTTCCCTGCCCAGCAGCAGTTCTTTACTGCTGGTGATCTTCTCATTTACTTGCTCATATCAAAAACTATGTCAAGCCATCAGAGTAAGACACAGATATATATATATAATACACAGAATACCTAGTTGGTGCTGTACATACAGCAGATTCTCAACAAAAAAATTTTTAAGTGGATAAAAATACAATGTCATTGCTCAGGACAGTCATGTTCAACAAGAACCATCACTGTATCACTGTAACTCAAGAACTGAAGGTGGCTGTTACCAAGAATATACTCCTGTTTTTACCTACTACAAGATAGGCTTCTGAGCTCAAGGAAAATGAGGTCATGGAGAAAAAAGCAATAACGCTTTTAAAGGCAGCTCAGTGGAGTCATTCCTTCCTGACTGGAATGCACCAGCATCTACAGAAACATTCACGGGCAGTCCACACACAAGAAACTCAAAGCAAGGGTCTTGATGTAACTACACCAGTTTCACTCCACACAGCCGTGCTCTCTCCAGGTACTTCCCAGATGGTCAAGAAGGTTTCAGACTATTATCCAAACAAAAATAACTCACATCCCTTTTTAACTGAAAGTTAAGTTACAGAATATTTTTTTCAGTTATTTGGGTGGAAAAAAATTAATTGAAACAGAAATGAGAGTATTTCAAAAACCAAAAAGGACTGGGGGACAGTGATCTGTGGTACAGCAAAACACCAGCCACAACTTAGGTCTTAAAAACTATATGCTGTGATTATATTAGGTGGTAGTGTGTTTTGTTTTTGTTTTCAGAGTGCTAACATTTGATACTGAACTAAACTAATGAGATGGCATTTAAAATTTTATTTTCCTGTTGCTTGCAGGAGAGGAACTGGGAACTTGAAAAATTTAGCAGTAGTATCAAAAATTGTCTTATGGCCCATACACAAGATATTATTTGTCCAAAGTTAAGTCCACTCTAGTGACAAGTTTAAGTGACTTTAAAAATTCTTGACATGCATACTGTTTGAGTAAGAACAATCTTTTATTAAACAGTGAAAAGAATGGGGGAAAATGTTTTAATACCCCCAAATTCCATTAAAACAGAACTTTTTGGTGGTAATAATAAGTAATAAAAGGCTCATAGATTGAAGCATCTTCAGTGTGATCCTGTGCACGCACAACATTTTGATCCCTGCTCTCTGGTCCTATTAGGCAGATATCTCAAACACTCTTTGAAATATTAAAAATAGCCATGCTGTCTTGCCCTAAATCTAAAATAAGAAAAACCTCAAGAGTACATCTCATACATATTGCACACACTTCCCACATTTGGTAGTTCATGTGCATTACACCTCCCAGGATGTACAGGGCCTGAAAGGTTCAGAAATCAGAATGAATGGTGGTCTGGGTGTTCACACCATCACAAAATGCAAACTATAAAAGAACCTTCCCACTGAGCAAATGACAAATCTGTGTCTCAACCACCACTTTTGGACATTAAATAGTACACTGGTATCTTTAGGACTGTTAAACCAACTTAACAGAAGAAAGCACTTAGGACCAGCAGGCCAGCCGT